ACTTCGTTGTTTTTCAGATTTGTGTGCATGGAAGTCTCACACCAGTTTTGGAAGCTGTAGACACGCTAGAGGAGATAGGAATTTCCCTCAGCCTACGCGGATACGTGTAGTGAATTGAAAAGGAAAACAAAGCCCGTAAAAAGAAAAGGGGCATCTAAAAGTTTGGCTTGTAAAATATATATGCTATCATGTAAATACAAGGTTTGCTCATGATGCTAGCTGTAACCCCATTGTTTGTTCTGATTGTGATTGTTTCGAATTCATGCTTCCGATTGTTCGTAAAGAAAGATAATAATGAACGGGATGTTGCAAAGTGAGCCACGGGTCACGATCTTGGCCGGGACGTGACAGTGTGGGTTACGTCGCATCAATAACCCCGAAGTGGGGGCGTTACAGGTACTTCTTTTCTTTAAAGAAATCTTCTTTTTTTGTCGAATTTAAAGGAAATACATCAGATGGTCTTAGTTGAATATATTTCATAACATGCATTTTCATGTCCATACATTTACGGTAATAATTCAAACACTCAAAAAGCTATCGATTATAAACATTGTATGAGTTACGACCCTCCGGAGCTGAACCTCGAGAGTTTGACGGATTATTAGGAGGACGCAAATAACTCTCTTGCAAGAGTGCTTCCGATTTGCACGAGCTTTCCCAAACCCTACAAACTATTAATTTTTCATTCATTATTTATTGAATTTTGAATTAGAGTCACCAATAACCTATTTTTAGTCCGTTAGGAGCCAAGTGAGACGTGAGAGCCTGTTGTACTTCCACAAATTAGAGATTTTAAGTTCCCGGGACTTAGTTAGCCTACTGTTACCTAACACCGATTATCGGTACCTTTTCTCTTTTAGAAAAATGTTATTTCATGTAATCTTTTTCCATTTTTGTCCCTAAGCATGCAAAACTCTGTGGCTATGCATAAGTGCTCAAGCAATAAGTGATACAATAAAAAACATAGACAAAGGTGAAGAAAGGAGAAGAAAGCAACCCGAGCCATATCGGGCAAAGTTTAAACAAAGCGGTGTTATAAAGTCCCGGGACAGGACCCTAATGAGCCATGAATACAAATTTAACATGCCATAGTCTAATAAAAGGATAGCCCTTAAACATTTGACGAGAACTAAATTATACATGCAACATGATAAAACTAGCAATAAAACAACATGTTGACACCTAAAATTTGGTGTCTTATTTAGGAATAATTGCATAGAAATTAGGGGCTAAACTTTAGCCCCTAACAAAAATATTAAAATTACATTGCATAGCATATAGTTATTAGGAGCATAGAAACTGGACTTGCGGTGGTTTATAGTCTTGAGCTTAATTAAACTAAGCCCGTGTGAGCTAAACAATTGGCCACCCATGCTGTGGCCGAAAGTTTGGTGGACCTGGAGATTTCTTCTCAACAGCATAATCATATATATGAGGCAAGAAAGATTGGGCACATGCATGGTCAAAGCGTGAGATCAAAGGAAATAAAAGATCTTAGCACTATTCATACATGGGAAAGAAATATTGCACGTGAGGATATACACGTGATCTTTATTATTTGAGCAATACATCTTTCTCAAAACAAAAACGTGTGCACGTTCTTCACTGAATCTGCAATACATACAAAGGAAGTCAAGATTATTTGATATCGTACAGGAACAAAACAGGAAAGAAATAGGTGATAATCTTTTCATCTGTGCCCTGTGGGAGCTTTCCACGAAAAAGGAAAGAGAAAGAAGCGAGAGAAGCTTTCTTATTCCTTGGGCGTGCATTCCCTGGTCTGCGGTTCGTGCTGCTGCTGAGTCTTCACCTGCATATTCACATCGGAATCACCGCTGCAGTTTCCCCCAGTGATGCTGCCGCTCTCCCTCCTTGCCGAGTCGACGACTGGTGCTGCTTTTGAATTTCCACGCTTGCCCGACGATGAGCTTCTTCCCTGGTGTGGGCTGAGACGCCTTCAACCGCGTTGCACCACCGTGATGTTGCTGTTCTTTCCCAGCTGCGGTACTCCGTCCTTGGCCGTGTCCCGAATCACCTGCGCTGATCCAAGCTGCTTCCTCGTTGAAGTGAGCCCTGCATCGATCGACCCCGTTGCTGTTTTCTCTGACCTGTGATCTGCTCTAAACCCGAGCCATACCAGGAGTAGGGGCAGGGCCTTGCTGCACCACTCTTCTAGCAGGATTTGCGAAGCTGGTCAGTGAGCATTGAGCACCACCACAAGCCGTCTGGCGAACCTTGACCGTGTGCTCCTTGGCTGAGGGACCATCCATGAGTCCCACCTTGCCGTGAACTGTAGGTCACCGTAGCCCGAGCCTATCCTGTTAGAGTTTAAATTTGGAAAGTTATTTGTGCATTGAGGTAAAAATCTTATCTGTGTGGTCAAAAAATTAGTTTGGGGTAAATTTGTCATAAGCGTATTAATTTGAGATTTTTCGTGGTATTAACTCTCATATTAAAGTGATTGGAAATGAGAACGGCAAGGGGATCATGTCAAGAGCGACATGCCCCCGTGTCAGGCACGGTCGAGCACGAGAATGAGAGAGGCTCACGTGACCCCTTGGTTTGGCCATGGGCCAAGCCTCGCTATGCCTTTTAGGTCCCACAATGGTCCTCGGCTAGGCATTGGTTAGCTTTTTTTTTTTTTTTGATCGAGGGTCGCTATATGATCACCTGAGAAAGCTCTTAAATCCTTCTATTCAATTCGAAATTGGAGCTTTAAGTGCTCCTACCTCTTCGACTATAGTCTTTCTATATGTAGGGTCAATGATTATAACTCTACAATGTCTCTAATTGCTAAAGAAGAGAAACTGCAGTGAAAAAATTCTAATGTGGAAAATGCAGTAAAATATATATATATATATATATATATATATATTTTCTAGATAGAGGATGAATTCCGCTGTTGATAGATTGAAATGAGACTTCTTATCATAGAAAGAAGGGGACTAAATGGCGAGGGTATGATTAATTAGTTCTAATTGGGATGGTTTAACCTATTTTGTCTCAAACCATTTAATTGCTGACTAAAGCAATTAGGCCACTATGCCTCGTTTGGACGGCAAAAGTATCAAAAAAGTCATAAACCTATTACATTGGTGCCAATTTAGTCCAAAACCTCTTTTTGGTGCCAATTTAGTCCTAAGCCTTTTGTTTTTGTGCCAATTCAGTCATTTCGGCTAATTTTGGTTGGATTTTGCAGACGTGGACGCCGGTGGTGCCACGTAGGCCCGTCGGTGGATAATTTTTAATATTTTATAATTATTTTTCTAATTTTTTTCCTCTTTTTCTTTCTTTTATTTTTTGGCTTTCTTCCTCCCTTTGCTGGTGACCGGCCACTGGCCCTTGCTGGACGGCTTGCCCTCACCTAGGCGAGGGTCGGCCTCGCCCGGCCAGACGAGGCGGCTTGGGCGAGCCATGACGGAGGCTCGCCCGGCTAGACGAGGCGGCTTGGGCGAGCCATGACGGAGGCTCGCCCAGGCTAGATTTGATGGGGCCGGCTCTTGCCCAGGCTACGACGGCCTTGTCAGATCTGGCCTGGATGAGGGTCGCCCTCGCCTGGTTGGGGCTTGCCCAGGCCGCGTTGGGCGTCGTCTGGCCGGGCGAGAGTAGCCCGCCTAGCCATGGCTAGGGGTGAGCGGTTCCAGGTTCCATAGGTTTCTGGAACCTGGAACCCACCCTCAGGTACAGGTTCCTCATTTTTTGGAATCTGGAACCTACCCGTCAGAATGTGGAACCTGGAACCTACCCTATCACAGGTTCCAGGGTCGGTTCCAAGTTCTAATAGGTTCTTTCTTTTAATTTCATTTTTAGTTAAACAAAACGAAAATAAACGTAACAATGACTAGTTATTGGAAAGCAACATTTCGCTTAATAGAAAGGGGATAGAACGTACAAATAGTAATTGTTGGAATGTAACACATGACTTTAATTCCAAGGCAAGATGCCACATTTTTTCTCAACAAAAGGTACAAAACACGCTCCCCTCCAAGCTCCTCCAAAGTAGAAAATTTTTTGTTTCTGGTCATCAAAACAAGTTGCAAGCTCCTCCACCACCTGCAATACTGAAAGGAATTAGTTGTGTAGTGGCAATCAAACCTCCAAGAGAACCATTGGCAACAAAAGCAAGGTAGAAAGAGGAGAAACACAGAAATTGAGCCTCCATAATTGGGTCAAACAGGAAGCGGAATGTTAACAATAATAACATGATAAGGACGAAGCAAATCCAGCAGCCTACATGGCTCACGGCACATCCCTTATCAACAAAGAGTAAAAACAGCATCCTTAAAGGCTAAAGCAAAGTTACTAATAAAACGGCAAAAGAACACTACAAGTGCCATAACTTGTGTACGGCGCTCACTTTGGTGCCATAAGTTTTTTTTTGATCACTTTAGTGCTAAAATTTTTGAAAAACGATCACTTAAGTGCCAACTCCGGTGCCGTACACAATTTTTCGCCGGAAATCCGACGTGGCATTTTTTTTTATTAATTTCTGAGGCTGACGTGGCTCGCCGGAGATTGGCACTTAAGTGATCATTTTTCAAAAAATTTAGCACTTAAGTGATCGTTTTTCAAAAATTTTAGCACTGAAGTGATCCAAAAAAAAACTTTTGGCACTTAAGTGATCGTTTTTCCTCCAATTTGGCACTTAAGTGAGTCGGCGAAAACTTTTGGCACTAAAGTGAGCGCCGTACACAAGTTATGGCACTTATAATGTCCTTTTGCCCTCATAAAACCATGGACTTCTTTCAATATTAGTCCAACACACTGACTACTCTTCAAGGAAAATCTGTCACTTTCATCCAAATTACCATCCGCAACATCAAAGAGACCGGCACACATAATGAAAATCGCAACTATGCACTAAAACTAAGATAGGAAGTTGAAGGAAGAAAAGGGCAACGCTGACAGACCTAATTCACCCTATTCAATCTTAATCTTCAACCCACTCGGAATAGCCGAAAGGGGTAGCAGCTCAACTAGAACAGAAATCTGCAATAAAAGATGTCAGATAAACATGAAAGAGAGAGAGAGAGAGAGGGAGGGGGAAGGGAGCTCTACCTCGGGGTTTTTTAGACCTACAACTGAATCTGATATAGCATCCTTAACTGCTGCAGCTACGACTTCAAAGCATTTGTGGCAGTCCAACAAAGGTAGTAAATCAGAACCATCAGATTTATCTTTTGAATTCTTCAGCTCCGTCTCTTCAAGTCCTCTTCTATTATATCCAATTGCAAACTAGAGGCCAATGGAAGAGTCATTCAATTTGTGAGCAGACACATTCACAAAATGGACCAATTTATAAGGATGCATAACGAGATTGTAATAGCTCTGATTCGATTGAAGGGAGAGGAGAAGACTTCGTGTGACAGGGTAATCTTACCACAGATCCCTAAAAATTTAACCTTGATTAAACATAATATTTCCAAAGATTAAGAATTTTACTACTTGCAGTTTCAAAATATCAAATCCACAGTGTATTGCTAGAAATGATCATCACTAATACAAGTGATTGCAAGTGTAACAGCCAAGCAGGCTCAATCTGTAACCTTTACTTTAAATGTCCTTTCATCTTTATACAATATTCCTTTACCAACAGATTATAGCCTGTAGAGGAGTTGCATGGAAAAGAACACAGCTCTTCATCTGTATCTAAAGAGTATAGATGAATTATGACTCACACTTTGATCTAATGGGTGACTTCACTCCTCAAATCAAAAGCTCGTACTAATGACTAAGGCTAGAATACAACTTGCTTTTTCTATGGTTCATCAAAAGATACTTCCTATGGGACAATAGAGATATACTTTAAAAAGAAAAGATCAAAAGCATGGCATAAGGCAAAGTGCTAGAAGGAAGAGATTCTAATCAACAAATTGCCCTTCCATTATTCTGTCTGTGCTAGTGTCTGCTTCTTTAGAGAAGAGGGGCATGAGGGATCGGGAGTGGATGAACTGGGCCAGTCTAATAACCTTAAGGTTTACCAAAAAAAACAAAGACAGAGAGCTGCTCATGAACACGATACTGTAGTTACTGCATGAAAGGAATGAAACTATACACAAAACTCAATAAAGCCATTAAGCTAACTACTCAGACATAAATAAACAAGTGGTACACGCAGCTCGTGAGCTTACATCTCTTGTGTTCCAAAGAAATGCACAAAGTGCCTTTTCGGGTCAGGAGTCTGGTGCCAATCCTCTGGCCTGCTAATTTGAAGACATAAAAACAATCATCATTCACGGAACAACCATCATACAAAAGAAGCGCACCGCATCACACTGAGATGGTCAATATAATCAATGTATCTATACAGTATCAGGCTTCAATCAGAAACCATGAAGACAAAAAGCTACTTCGGATCTAACTGAATAGCCTAGAGGCAAACCTAAATCACTGGTGAGCCACGAGGTAAAGCACGAAAAACAGTGCTTGGATATGCCAATTCAGTTTTGAAAACCCAAAAAAGCAAAATTAAAGCTCATTCGCCTCTATTTCCAACTAATCCAAAGAAACACATACATCCAGAAAGGTTCACTTTCGAAGTGCCGGGCATAAATAGTACACAATGCGAGCAAGTAAGAAAATTCAAAAAGACCAGCCTCCCCAAACGTAACGGCCGACCACCTATTCACTTCACAACATAAGCAGAATTAAATCAAACTAAACCATTTTCCAACCGCGAGAAGGCAAAAAAAAAAAAAGACAGAAAGTAAAAACTTGCACTTGAACTCCCAAACAAAAATGAGAAACACGAAACAATCAAAGGGAATACAGAGCAAAAAGTGTGAACCTTGGTAGGCCAAGCAGGGTGGCCCTTGACTTTGGCAAGAACGAGATCGCCCAAACTCAACTGACGCTTACTCTTGTCCATGCTCGCTCCCTTTTTGCGCCCTCCAACTAGAATCGAAAACCCTAGAAAAAGCAGAGACCGCGGATGAGTCGAACCGTGGTTGATGAAGACAGAGGAAGAGACGGAGCGAGGAGAGGCAAGATGGTCTCGTCGAGTCGTGGGTGTGGGGAGTGGGGGAGAGAGCGCAATGGAGGAGCGACCGAGCGAGGGAAAATTTGGGTAGAAACTAAGAAAGTTAGGGTTTTTATTTTTAGTAGGAGAGAGAGCGCCGGTTCCGGTTCCTAAAAAATTGGAATCGAGAACCGGAACCTCCCACCCTAGAACCGGGAATCGAACCGGACCTGCCGGTTCGGTTCTTCGGTTCTCGGTTCTACCCTGGAACCGTGCTCACCCCTAGCCATGGCCGGTCACCGGCAATGGAAGGAAGAAAGCCAAAAAAGAAAAAAAGAAAAAAGGAAAAAAATCAGAAAAATAATTTAAAAAATTGAAAAAAATATTAAAATATTATTAAAAATTATCAACATCATCATCGGTGGGCCCACGTGGCACTGCCGGCATCCACGTCAGTAAAATCCTATCAAAATTAATTGGAATGACTGAATTGGCATAAAAACAAAATGTTTAGGACTAAATTGGCACCAAAAAAAGGTTTAGGACTACATTGATACCAATGCAATAGGTTTAGGACTTTTTTGACACTTTTCCCCATTTGGACTAGTCACACCATCTTCACTGTTACTAAAAAAGCTCTGTTTTTCTCTTTTTGTTAATCAAAATAAACAAATAAGGAAGCAAATTGGATTGCTTGTCGTATTAAGCTACAAGTCCGAAGGACTAATTCAAAATTTGATTTTTCTTCTAGCATAAAGGCAATTTCGTTATTAGCATTGTGACACCCGAGAACATCACGTGCGATACGTGTCTTTACCAATTTTTTTTTATAATTATAAAAACATGCGGAAGCATAATAAAGCATTCACACCATTCCCAAACATGTATAATAAAATACATATGCATCTTTTTATAATATTAACATCAATTTTACAATACAACATTCGGCAAAAAAACAAAATACATAATTACTGGAAAAGGTCAAAGTCGCCTAACTTCAGCACTTAACTACTATGCCCAAAAGCTTGCCTGTACACTAACGGACCATCAACTAAGGGTCGACGACTTTACCCGACGACATTCCATCGTCGCCAAACCCTAGAGGACCATCGAAACCTCTAAGCGGTCCAACTAACTCGCCCTCGATATTCACATACCAAGCTACATAACTATGGATTATATATTCTGGTAACCCCACGTCGACCCATAAAACGGTAGCACACCTAGTATAAATCACTGGTGATCCAGGTACAACAACGTCTTCATAATTATAATAAAAAAACATAGGAGCTCCAAAACGCGACGACGGTGAGGGATCCATCCTACATATCTGAAAAATAAAGAGTGAGCCGAGGCCCAATAATTGAAATCTCTAAGTCTAAGATAGAAAATTCACTCACCACTCATGTCACGCCCCGAACCCCAATGGGCTCGCGGCACCCCTACGGCAGTTGTATTGAACGCGACGTCCCAGGACGCGTTGCCGACCCAAACGGAACACGAGAAGACAAACGCAAGCGGAAGCGGAAATCAAACAACCCAGACAATAAACAATGACAAAAGGGTAGTACTTGAACAAATCAATAAACTCATTTCATTAGCTTGAGACCATAAAATTCATACAATATGCTCCTAGGGTTAGCATCCTCCTTCATCATCAAAAAGGGACAGGTGGCAGGGTAGACTACGGAATACACAAAAAGGGCTCCACCAAAAGATTCTAAGCCCAGCGCCCAACACTCCTACGGTGCCCAATCCGAATCGGACCCTGAAGACTCCGACTCAGTGTCCGAGTTGATCTCGATCGGCTCTTCCTCGTGCTCGGACTCCAAGGGCTCTGGCACGGGCTCTAGCTCAGGCTCGGGCTCTTCAAATTCCTCCTCGAGCTCGGGACCCGCGGGCGCTACGGGTTCTGGTACGGGTTCGGGTTCAGGGCCAGGGTCCTCCGGGGGATCTTCGGCATCCAGAACCTCTCCGTCAGGAGCAAACGCGTCCTCAGGCTCCCAATCTACGGCATTCTCGTTGTCGTGCTATTGTCCCTTAAAACCCCAGATTGGGCCCACTAGCTTCAACCCATCATGATAGAACCAAGCCAGGTAAGTGTGGCGTTGCAAGGCCTCTAAGCCCACATCTACCCAGACTGAAGTAAGGTGCCTAATGTAAGTCTGGTTTGGGCCTACCGGATATTCGGTCTCCTCATGCACCGTATGCATGGGGACCCCAAAACGCCTAGCTGGCGGCATGCTCAAGGACGGGGATCTGAAAAGGTCTGCACTACAGCAATGAGAATAAATCTCAATAAGCAGACAACCTAAGCCCCACCTAGGCCAATGTGTACCCAGACGAGTCTAACATGCGATCTAGCAGTCAACACATTCGTATCCACACAAACATACTTACCTCGCCTTAAAACAAGTGCCAACTCTGCATATTAGTTAAATCACCATAATACAACAATAACTCAAGAACGTAATATAAACACTCAAGCACCATAATCACGTACAATCACCCAATTCAACCAAACACGTTTCGCATGCGTGGCCGTAGCAACTATCCACGACCCGCGTCAACACGCCTCAGGTCTATTCTCACAGCCCGCGTCAACATGCCTCAGGCTCAGCCCTCCGATCAATCCTGGTTTAGTCCCGCGTAACCACGCCTCAGGACATTTCTCTCGACTCGCGTAACCACGCCTCAGGTCATTTCTTGCCTTTCTAGCCACACCGGCATAACCACGCCTCAGGTTGGCAGCTCTCCAATCAATCCGGGCTCAGTCCCACGTAACCACGCCTCAGGACATTCCTCATGCACATACACCACAACACAATTCGCCAATACCAATCTAACACGTCATACTATTCAAATCCAAGCCATGTTCACCACATTAGCCCCACTAATCCGACCTTCAAGCCGGCCATATTCAAACACCGATCTCACCCATAAACGCCACTACAATTCAGTCATTGAACTCATCTCGATCGATCACTAATTTAGCACAAAATCACCACCACAATGAATCATAAAACAATCACATCCAATTAACTAAACCCTACCCAATTTAATCACTAAACCAACACTAATCACCCCTAAACAAGTCTAATAATACCCAAAGTACTAAGTAGGGTTTAGGGAGTCACTTACCTAGGTTTGGCCCGGGGAAAAATCGGCGAGGGGCCGAAATGGCCCGGAGGGAACAATGGCGGCTCGGCGCGGGCGAGGGCACAACGGGCACGGTGGCCGGCTACAGCTCGGCACGGCCCTCGGCCATGGCCTGGGACTCTCGGCCAGGCGAGCGGGCGACGGTTGAGCGAGCTCGGCCACGGCCGGGACGGCGGGCGGTGGCGTGCTAGTCCCGGCGAGCGGCAGTCGCGAGGCGACAGCTGCTGGGCGGCGACGAGCTCGGCCAGAACAAGGGGCAGCTACGTCGTCGTCGGACCAGCAGGGGCGACGGCGGTCCGAGGGAGCTAGGGTGGTGGTGGCAAGCCGGCGGCGGTCGGGGCGGCACGGCGGCGTCACGAGGGCGGTGGCGGGCGAGGCCGGGGGCGGTTAGGCGGCTCGAGTTTGAGCCGGGCGCGAGCGGCTGCTGCTTAGCGCGAAAGGGAAGGAGGGAGGGTAGGAGAGGGCGCAATCGGGTCGGGGAGCCGGCTGGACGGACGAGCGCGATAGGCTGGGCGATCGGCGGCGCCAGGCGGACGGCCGGTGACGGTCGGGCGCGGCGAGCAGCGGTCAGCAGAGGGGAGCAGGAGCAGGCGAGGGAGGAAGAAGAAGAAGAGAAGAAGAAGAAAAAGGAAAGAAAGAAGAAGAAGAAGAAAAGAAAAAAAGGAGGAGAGAGAGAGAGGGAACGTTGCATGGGGAAGGGGGGGATGGACGTGCGGCAGGGGGAGGGGACGAGAGAGAGAGAGAGAGAGAGAGAGAGAGAGAGAGAGAGAGAGAGAGAGAGAGAGAGAGAGAAAAGTCAAACATTGCACTCGAGTGCGATCCGACGGCCCTCATTCGAACCCGAAATCGATCCAACGGTCCACGAAAAAAATCTAATTATAAATTAGGAAAAAGGGCCAAAACACTAACTAAAATAAACCCAGAGGGAGGTCTACTAGTCCAAATCCGCACCCAGTCCAAATTTCACTTTTCACTAATCCCGGGCAATATTGATGCTGGCCATCATAATATCGACACCGTCCAATTAAATTCGTCACGAAACTCCGAGAAATTCGACACCAAAGTTCGGGCTCTAAATAACGGCCAAATTCGATCGAGTGCGATATTAGCGAAATCTCTAATTTAAAAATAATCCAAGAGTGATTAGTTCCGGGCAAGATTTTAATATAAGCACACTGACGAAATACACGCTTTATAAATCCCAAAAATGGGTCGAAATTTGGAATGTCACAACTCTTCCCCCCTTACAAAAATTTCGTCCTCGAAATTTACAACCCGACCCAAATTATTCGAACAAATGGGGGTATTGATGCCGCATCAGCTCTTCGCTCTCCCATGTCGCACCTTCGGTTCCATGATGCTCCCAAATTACTTTGACCATCGGAATTGTCTTGTTCCGCAACACTCGTTCCATTCTGTCCTCGATCCTTATTGGCCTTTCCACGTACGACACTCTGTCGTCCACATCTATTTCTTCATAATTCAGCACGTGGGTCGGATCCGATTCGTATTTCCTTAACATAGACACGTGGAACACATTGTGAACTTGAGATAAATTCAGCGGTAGCGCGAGACGATAGGCCAAGGTACCAATTCTCTCTAAGACCTCGAATGGA